GGTCAACAAGCTCAGCAGCTCAGTGGTTTAACCCACTGTGCCACCAAACAGTTATTTACTACAAAGACGGCCATATTGTATTTCCCAGTTATGTAAGTGATTAAAGATGAGGAATAGAGGGGCAACCCTAATTCAATATCATACATATGACTGAATATTCAGGGATTCAAACACATATTTGGAGAAAGGTGGGATATAAATCCATTAATGAAACAACCAAACCAAGGCTTAAATACTATTGTTAGTCCAGGCTCAATTAGTGTGATTTACCTATGTGTGGACTCATCATTCAAAAATTGATTGAATATGTTTACTTTGGTTTGGACCAGTCATTAGGATACCAACCGCAGACAGGCTTTTAAGAAATAAGCACTCAAAGCCCTCTGCCTGAAGGGTGAATCTGTCAATTTTTCTCTCTCACAAATTTAAATGCTTGCAATCCCAACTTCTTTCCAGCCAGGTACAAATTTGGGAATGTTCTGATTTAAAAATTACACAAAATATGGTCCTATATCTACATTCTTCATGTGAGGTTCTTTTCCAGTTAGTCCAGGAAGGACTAATTCTCACTTGAGCAAAGCAATGTGTCAGCCCAAGTACACAAGAGCAAATAACATATCCATGTGAGGAATGTTTCTTCTTCATTGTGATATTATAGAAATAGAAGTAACAATTTATCATTTATCAGCACATCCTGTTATGGTGGCTCAAATGAGTGCCTGTTGATTCCACAATAATCATTTTTAGGAATAGTTAAAGATGATTGGCATTTAGTCAACATGCCAAACATTAAGAACACAGTGAGTAATGGAACACCATGAACTGTTTGCCTTGATATTTCTTCTCACTTCAGAAAATACGGTCTATTCGCTTGAATGATAAAATATGTAATGTATTGAAAAATATCAGAATAACATCCTGGCAAAATTGTAATAACTGTGTAGTATAAACGCAGGCATATTTAACCAGGTGTAAAAAAAAGCAATATTCAGTCTAATCTTTTGCCATCTTTCGGGGGTGCTTTGAATGTGATTTTCCTGGTTCTTGGCAGGGGGTTGGACTGGATGGCTCACGAGGTGTCTTCTAGCTCTATGATTCTATAATTCTAATATCTTGGTCTTAATCTTGTTGAAGCATTACATTTGGGCTAGCTCCTAATTCCATTGATAGTTGCAAGCTTACACATTTGTACAAAGAGGTATCCAATAGCTCCTTATCAAAGTTGTTCTTCCAAGTAATAGATTTTGGATAGCTTTAAATGAGCTATCCAAGGGGCTGAGACTACTTAGAGTGTTCCTTTGAAGCCTGGATTATAACTTGGATCAGGGTCACTGCCACAACAATATGGGAACCATCAGTTACCATTATGTTCTCTAAAACATATAGTAAAATTGTTTTTTTTTTAAAAAAGACTGGTTGGTGTATGGACACATGATCACACACATGCACGTATGGTCAGAAAGTCAACCAGATCTCTGCTGCTATTTCCATCATTTGCATTGTTCTCATAAGAGCACCAGTGGGACTTTATGCTCCATTACCATTTAGCAGGATTTTGGACATTCTTAATAATTTGAGTAGGAAACACTGGCAATCTAATTATGTAGGATTAAATGCCATTGGAAAGAAAAGACCGGTTCAAGTAGCCCAGCTTATGTTTGGGAGTATCTTACATCACTGGGCAATCAGATAAGTTTGCCCTCTAAACCTTAATCTAAGCCATTAATAAAGATATTGAACAGTACTGGGCTCCGGATGGAACCCTGTGGCACTCCTCTACTCACTTCTTTCCAGGATGAAGAGGAACTATTGGTGAGAACCCTTTGGGTTTGGTCGCTTAACCAATTACAGATCCACCAAATAGTTGCATTGCCTAGCCTACATTTGACTAGTTTGCTTGTAAGAAGGTTGTGGGAACTTTGTTGAAGGCCTTATTGAAATCTAGATATGCTACATCCACAGCATTCCCTGCATCTACCAAGCTTGTAACTCTATCGAAAAAAGGGATAGGATTAGTCTGGCATGACTTGTTTTTGATAAATCCATGTTGACTTTTAGTAATTACAGCATTCTTTTCTTAGTGATTACTTAGTAAGTAAGTACAAAACTAAACTTTTTTAGTGATTACAGACTGGCTCCTTAATGATCTGCTCCAGAATCTTTCCTGGTATTGATGTCAGGCTGACTGAATGGTAATTGTTTAGGTCCTCTTTTTCCCTTCTTGAAGATAGGGACAACATTTGTCCTCCTCCAGTCTGCCGAGACTTCTGTTCTCCAAGAATTCTCAAAGATTATTGCCAGTGGTTCTGAAGTGTCCTCTGCTAGTTTCTTCAATACTCTTGAAGTGGGAGAGATTTATAATGGAAGGGGGCAGGGCTAAGTACTTTTTTTTACTCTAAAAGGAAGAAATCTTGGTAAATAGTGGCTAAACGAGACTCTAGTCTACTTTCAATGAAGTTTATGTCAGGTGAGTGTTGACATTTTGTTGTTGTTTTGCTATTTTCTGTGTCCTCATTAAAAGATATGTTCTCATTTCTGCAGGCTTCCCTTTTTAGGTATGTTGGCTGGGATAATGGGAATTGCCCTCCAGCTCATGGGAAGAATACTTGGTTGGGGATGTTGTTTTTGCCTGTTTATGGATGTTGCATTACTGGTGTGTGTGTGTGTGTGTGTGTGTGTGTGTGTGTGTGTGTGTGTGTGTAAAATGACAAAAAACTAAGGAAATGAAAAGCAAACAACATGTAGATTGAGATATTAAACACTATCCATATCAGAACAATAATCCTCCTGGATGTTATTAAAACAAGGAAGTGGGCAACAAGCTCCTCAATCGAGGACCATCTTTTTGAGGCTGTTAACAGCATATATTTCATAATGGTGACGTCTGTGCTATTTAGAGATCTCACCATTATGGGAACAGGGCTGTGGCGCAGTTAGCTGAGAGCTAGCTGCATTAAACCACTACTGACTGAGAGGTCATGAGTTCGAAGCCAGCCCAGGTCAGAGTGAGCTTCCTGCCATTCGTCTAGCTTGCTGTCGACCTATGCAGCCCGAAAGTCAGTTGCATCTGTAAAGTAGGAAATTTAGGTACCGCTTATGCGGGGAGGCTAATTTAACTAATTTAACTAAAACCTTCCAGCAGTGTGCTTAAAAATGAGGAAGTACTCCATCAAAGTACTTGGCATCACAATAGGTACCGCATAAGCGGTACCTAAATTTCCTACTTTACAGATGCAACTGACTTTCGGGCTGCATAGGTCGACAGCAAGCTAGACGAATGGCAGCTCCCCCTTTGGCCGGAATCGAGCCGGAATCAAAAGCTTGAGCACAGCTGGAATGTTAAATTGCTTCTGCGTCTGTCTTTAAATGTAGCATGTCTAACTGGCATTGAATGTTTGCCATGTATATGTGCATTGTAATCTGCCCTGAGTTCCCTGCATCCTGCAATCCTGCAAACCTATCAGGGATGTGTGCCGATATAATTGTTGAGCACAATGGGAGGTATAAGGAGGCAAGAAACAATGCCTGGTTGTCATGTCCCATTTCCTTTAAATGCTACTAGTTGAAAAGTTAGAAAAATGTAGGTTATGTTTAAAATGATGAATTAGCAAGCCAGAACAATTTGCACAACATCAATACTGCAGCAGCAAAACAGACACATACACGAGTTCCAGAGAAATGTAACAGGAAATTAAGCACAAATTGATTCCACAAATTAATGTACATAAGGACATGCTGAATAATTTAGCAAATCGATATGAATAATCTGAGTAATTGAAGGGTACACAGGCAAAGAGCTATGTGGGTTAATGTTTAATACAGACCTATTTAGTGACCTGCTTAGTAGCAATAATTTGTTGAATTTTAAATGTGTGAATAATAGAGAGATGGTGGCAGTATGTTTGAAGGAGAAAGACAAGAAAGGGACATACGGGTCACAGTGTAGTATGTAGCCGCATCTTCCCCTGACTCCTTTTTGATACTCAACTGATTTCCCCTCTGCTAATTAATGCAACTGAAAATTGTGCTAAAGCGTACTAAAGTACAATATGCTTTGGTGCAATTTGAAGTATAATCCATTTTTGGCTTGACTAAGAATAGACACCATTAATGTTTTAGACTATTTGCTTATAGACCGGGAATGTCAGCAAATAGAAACTAAATGTAATTTGCTCTCCTTGAATTTTAATTCAGTGCAAATATAAGCGTCTATACACTTTGAAGTGAACTGATTTTTCCATTCTTTTAAATGGAAAAGCAAATAATGGTTATATAATCTTAAGAACGAGGATGGGAAATGGCATGCTTGGTCCACGAAATGTTGTTGAAATCCTCTCATCTCTCAGCCATGGCTTTGCTGGGTAAGACGGATGGGAGCTACAGTCATATGGAGAATGGAAGCAAGGAAAGAGAACGTTTGCACAGAGCTAGGTGTCACAGTTTTCCAGATCCAAACCATTCTCCTTTTCCCAAACGGTTCTTTCTATATCCTCTATCCCATCTTCAGCCAGTAAATAACTTGTGAAATTTGGCAGACTTTTCCTAAAGGGGTTAGTGGCATAGGATATCAATTGTTGTTTCTCATCAAAACAACAAATGAGCCTGTCTAAAATGGAAATCTGCAATGTAGCCCACAACTTTTGAACATGAGCATGTCCAAACATTATAAGGTGAATAACAAACCTATATTCTACATGTATGTTCAAATCCAAAAGGAATAAGCAAAACTGTATCAAATTAACTCTGTTCATTAATTCTCCTTTGCTGTGATGCTTGAATTTGGCAAAGAGGATGAAAACCACTTTACATACTTTAGATTCAGTTTGGTTGTTTTATTTTTGCAATTTATTAATTACTAGTTGTACTCGCCACGTGTTGCTGTGGCCAACCTTCCCTCCCCCCTTCTCTCCTTCCCTTTTTTCTTTCCTTCTCTCCTTCCTTCTTCCTCTACCTCTTTCCTTCCATCCTGTTCCTTTATCTTTCCCTTTTTTCTTTATCTCCTTTCTTCCTTCTCTACCTATTTATTCTTGGACTGCAACTCCCAGCAGTCCTCCTGATCAATCAATCTACGTACCTACCTACCTATATGTAATCTATCTATCTTATCTATCTGGACAATTGCTGAGAGTTGCAGTCCAGGAATAGGAAATTGGAAATATGCACTATATTGTTGTTTAGCTTTTTTTTGGTTTTTAAATCCTTTCCGCTGTTTTTTTTGGGGGGAGGGGGCTATAAGTGATGGTCACTTATTGGGCTGTTAAGGGTGTAGTGTGCAAATTTTGTGTCAATTCGTCCAGTGGTTTTTCAGTTATGTTAATCCCACAAACTAAAATTACGTTTTTATTTATATAGATTAAAATATTTATACAGGTTAAGGACCTCTTATTTGGAATTCCTAAATACTCCAAAATTGTCTATATGGTGGCCTCACAACCTCTGAGGATGCCAGCCATAGATGCAGGCAAAACGTCAGGAGAGAATGCTTCTGGAACATGGCCATACAGCCTGAAAAACGTACAACAACCCATTGATTCTGGCCATGAAAGCCTTCAAAAATACAGGGCTTAGATGGTCATCTTTCAGATGTGCTTTAGTTGTATATTCCTGCATGGTAGAAGGTTGGACTAGTTGGCTCTTGTGGCCTCTTCCACCTCTAAAAGCACCTGCCTAAATACAAATACCACAGAACTGTAGCATTCCAGAGAAATTAATGGGAAACTTTTAATTTTAGGTTAGAGGATAGCTTGTATGGTGCTGTTGACTGAGTCTGACGATAGCTTTCCAGAGCTTTTGGCTCAGGCCTTTCGCATCACCTCACTGTTTCAAATGCTAGCTGCTAGAAGTCTAAAAAGAGACTTTCTCCATGAAAAGCATGTAACCCCTCACCAAGCTCTTAGTGTACATTCTACTGATGACACTTTGCTTATGCAAAGACACATTTGTCATTGCTGGCAGTTGCACATCTGTTAGCAGCATCGGGTCTTCATTTATTAATAAACAGTCAGATGGATTCTGCATGGCTGGAAAAGAAGAAGCCTGACAGATATGCTCATACCTTTTGATTACCTTGCTGACATTGTGAGAAAAAAGTCTATAATTCATTAAAGCATTTGACACTCAGGTCAGTGAACAAGTTCATTTGTGGCAAAGTCACAAAGCTCAGTAAACAATAAAATTAATAAAATTCTAACAGACCAATGGATGTAGGCCAACAAGAAAACAATTCACAGGACAGTAAGAATTGAAACATTTGAATTACTCACGAAATTACCCAAGATTATAATATTTGCATTTTCCCAGTATCTATCTTTACCATCAAATATAACATCTGTTGTATCTACCTCAGTGGGATTTTAAGAAAATCATATAGAAAGTGTTTGGTGATTGCTGAGTTGTGGAAATGACTATATCACAACATAGTCAAAATCTGCTTTAAATCAAATTAACGCAGAGTTCAGACTTTGCAGTAATGTGGCAGACACTCAGCACAATGACAAGCAATATAGATGATTTCTCCTGATATTTAGTAGAAGATTCTCTATACTGATAGCCTCTTTGAATAAAATAGTTGAATAAAGAATGTTGTCTAACAAAACCCCTACAGAAAGTTACGCTGATCCTATTTTGTCACATAAAATACTCCCAAATAATACATATGGCACAGTGCTAATAACTTTGAACATCCCTCCTGTTTTCCCTGAGGATTTTTAGTGTTTTGTAGTTATAACTTGACAGGCTGAACAGGGAACAGGGAAGATGTTCAGTATGAAACTCTTAATTTAACCATTTGCTGCCTTTTTTTTGTTTGCTTCTTCCTCTTTTTCCATTCCCCAACCCTTCATTGGTACTGATGTTGTTGCTAGGTCAAAGGACTCCCTCAACACAGGAAATGCCTCCTGATTCCTCCCAGAATGGTGACAGGTTATACATGAAGCATCATTTCCTTCTAGGAATCATAGGGCTATATATTCAAGTCCTGAGATTCCCTGTCGGGACACAATACCATAAACACTTTTGTGTTCAGTGAAAGACTCATTGGAATTTTCTCTCGATGAAAAATATGCATGATACAATTTTCTGATTGGTGATCATGGGGCATGTAGTCACGCTGCAAGATTCTTACTACATTGCACATCATTTGCTGGCTCCAGAGATTTTTGTTCCTGGACTTGTGCAGAAGTTGGTGAAATGGCAACTGACACTTAGGATCTTCCAAAATATCAGAGGGCAGTTACCTTTTGGGATGAAGGGTATTCAGGCCATTCTATGTGGCACACTCTGCTCTTTTCTCCAACTTCAACCATCTGCAGTCAACTGCACTCTAGCCAAGGTCTGGACATGTCCTTCATAAGAAGAAAATAGTTAGGGATCACAGGAGGAATAACTTCAGGATAGGGCATTTCAACTGTTGTTTCTCAACATTTATAGCCTGCCCCATTCCTTTAATGCAGAGGTGGGAAAACAATAATATGTAGACTACATGACACCCTGTCCCCTCAGCTCCAAACTTTCAACAATTATTATTTTTAGGTGATCTCCAAATCGACACGCCCACATACCTCATAAAATTAAATTAAAAATGCCCAAAAAATGAAACCAGGAGTAAGTCTAGTAAGTCTAGTCATGTCAGGCATGCTGGTTTGGCCTGCCAGGAATATGAAAGAGCTGAAAAATGTCCAGTGACTCCTTGGTATTGACCACCTCACAGAGGTGGTCAATAGAGTCTCCACAATTCTATTGTGCTAAACGGAATATATTCCCCTTTGCAAATTGGCTTGGCCTCTAATCTAGATCGTCTGGTTCAGAGTATGAGTATTTTCATAATTAATACAGAAGTTTTATAACTTTTGTGAATTCCTCTAGAGATTATGGCTATTCCAATTTTGTCATTGATATTCTCGCCCATAGATCTTAATTGATCAATTAAAGATCTCACATGTTGCAGAAAATCATCCAAACTTTCTTCAGAATCCATTTTAGCTGTGAACAGCTTGTGATACATCAACATACTTCCATCAAATGAACTCTTGCTGTGAATTTTCTCCAGATGTGCAAGTGTGGCCCTTGCCGACGTATCATTCTTAACATATTCAAAAGCTTTCTCAGATAAAGAATTTGCAATTAAGGCTCTCACCTATCTGTCAAATTCTGTCCATGCTTCAGACTCATCATCATCATCATCATCATCATCATCATCATCAGCTTGGGGTGGATCTTTCTGTTAGACCTTGGTTTGCCTTGAATCTAGAAGTAACTCCAATTCCTTCTTCCAAGCCAGATAATTAGTCTCATTTTCTGCCAGTTTTGGAAGACTGAGGAAAAACTCTTGTCTCCTTTCCATTCTTTGCATGTCTCAAAAAAATGAAGAGGCACCAAAAATAAAAAAAAAATCCAAATAACCTTAAAACCTGTTTAAAGAAGCCTCTCTGTTCTTTTTGGCCTTCCTAATTTTTTTCCACACTCTTTCTTTCAGCACACACACATAGACTGGGTCCATAACTCTTTTTTTAGGGAACTCTCAAAAAAATGGCAGTCTATCCAAAATACAAACAGGATCTCCTCCTCCTCCTCCTCCTCCTCCTTCTTTATGCTTTCTGACTAATAATCTCCTTCAGTGTCAAATCCTAGACTTTGTCACACCAACCATAAATTCCAAGTTGAGCACCTTTAATATGTACCTCTATTTATTGCATTGATTCACGATTATGTAGTCCATGATCATACTTCTGCATAATTGCACCTTTGTACAACACTGCAGTTCCCTTTTTAGTTATTTTTTTACTTTCCATATAATGTGTAATTTCAGCATATTAGATAGATAGATAGATAGATAGATAGATAGATGATAGATAGATAGAACAGCATATATATCTTGGGAATAATGAGAGGGAGAGAAGGTAAATCCCCCCTCCAGATATCATCTTATTGCCAGAATATCAACACAAAAATTGAAGGGATCCATTATGTCATGGTAGGTAATGGGGATGTTGGAAGATTGAGAGTTATTTATGGATTTTACCTGTTAATAGGTGGGAAGGGAGAATCATTGGGAGGGGGAGAAAGGAAAACTAGTAGCAGGATAAACACACTATCATGTGATAAGGACGATAACCAAAGATGACAGTTCAGGCGCAGTACCAGTTTGCCTACCTTGTGCAACAAAGTCCCCTATCTCTGCCAAGACCAAACCCTATCTATTTCAGCTTCAAACCTTTTCTTGCTCTCAAGACAAGCCTCTGATTTTGTTATATTCTGTTCACTCATACCTAGCCCATATTCACAGCCCCCCTGAGCTATGATTAGCTGCCCTCGGCCAGATCTGCCCTGTGTCTCTTTCAAAGGACTCTATGTGCCTTTTGGATAATGATCACTTAGAAAGTTTGCATCATCACTTACTTATATAGGTGACACTGAGTGCTGGATGGAAACATCTCCTGAAATGAGAGGCAACAGAAAACAAAGTAGAGGAAGTCGGAATAAGGATCATCAAGAAACAGAAAGATATTGTACTCATGCTTCCTCTCTCTATGCACAAATCCAGGTTGTTAATAATTTAAATGGGTTCATAAAAATAAATGAATATTCAAAAAGTGACTGCTTATCAATAAACCATTAGTTTACTGATTTCCCAATAGAATATATTTGTAACAGCACACTCTAGAATTGTCCCTCATCAGGTATGAGCCCTGATTTTCTGGACATTGTCCCCAGTATAAGTCACTTTTTCTGTCTTATCCCTGCTTAGAAGATCAACATATTGTTATTAAAATTTTGTAACTCAAGCTGTCTTTTTTCAAGTTTTAGCTCCCTCTGCCAAGACTCCCAGAGTTAGATTTCTCTTTTGCTCTCTTTATCATTTTCTCCAAATATTGTCTTCATTGTGCATGCATGTGAGTGCATGTACTTGACTACTAATGTTCCAGGAAGCACGGTCTTTCATTTTATACACCAAAGCTGCTGGAATATATTTGCAACAAGTAATACCATATTGGAAAACAATCACAGTTTTTTCTTATTGCACCTGCTTAGTCGAAACATCTGTGCATAATGAGGTTTCCCATAATTAAAAATCCTTATCTCTTTAATCAAAAGAAGAAGAAAAAGCTTCATTTCAAAAAAAATCCTACAGGCCTCTACTATGTTATATTGAATCAAAGCATCTAGCCCAATACTAGAATAAAACTTAGTGTTAATCATTTTTCCTGTCCTATCTGGAGATGCAAACGCTGAACCTAAAGCTATTGCTTGTAAAGTGGTCTGCAAGTGTGCTCCTATCCCAGATCCACTACTAAAGCATAAAACAGTTGAAAAAAGGAGGAGCAGAACCTTCAAGTCACAGAAGAAGACCTTCTTTAATAGTGACCCATGGTATGTATTTATTTATTCACTCAGTTTGTAGTCTGTTCTTGTCCTTATGCTGAATCCTAGACAGGCTACAACAGGCTTAAAAATAAATGATCAAATAAAAAAATAAACACTATACCACATAGATTTTCAGCCAAAATCATGCCCGATTGAAAAAATATTCCTTTGCCAACAAAAGTAAAGGAGTGAGAGGACAAACTGAACCTACCATGCAAGGGAATTCCAAAATCTGAGGGCAGCCAATGAGAAGGGTGTTTCCCTGATCCTCACCAAACTGTTCCGGCCTAGTTTACCTGTCTGAATGCATCTCACCTTATGAACGATCTCAGAGGGTAAGATCTTTTGGGGAGGCCCTGCTCTCGGTCCCGCCTGATTCACAGGTGTGGTTGGGAGGGACAAGAGACAGGATCTTCTCCGTGGTGGCTCCTTGGCTATGGAACTTCCTCCAAAGCAAAATTAGAAAGAAAGCGAAGACATGGCTGTGGGACTTAGCCTTTGGTCAGTAAAGTAATGCAGTACTAGAAATGCATATGGAATATAAACAAACAAGCAAACTTTATTTATTTATTTATATCTTGCCACCATCTCCTCAAGGGGGGGGGGGCTCACAAAAGCACTCTAGGGTTCCACAGATAAAATAGAAATACATAAACCTAAAAAACAGTACAACATACATTTAAACAAATACAAACAAATGGACATCATCAAATGATAAAATTTTAGATTTAAAACACAGTAATATCTGTGAATAAACTGGGTATCTTGAAAACAACTAAAGTGTCAGAGAAACAAATAGTCAATTGACATGTGAAACTGACAATTGGAATGGCTCCGGAATACAATTTTGAACAGCGTGGTTTTTAAATATCAGAACTAAGATGTTTTAATTCTGTTTTTAATGTAATTGCTTATTTTAATTGACTGTTTGTTTATATGGCATTGAATTGTTGCCTATCTGTAAGGCTGCTCTGAGTCCCCTTTGGGGTGAGAAGGGCAAGGTATAAACAAACAAACAAACAAACAAACTCTGAAGTGATGGGACCAAGAATAAGCCTTCCTCTGAAGGTCTTAAAAGGACTCATACAGAAAATTATTGTCTTTTAGATCTCCCTTTCCTATAAGAAACAGAATGTTTTGGAAAGTGTAGAACTGAAGATCTGTAAATATTTATAAACATTAGTTTTATATGATTTCTCAAGCAATATTGTGTGGTGCTTATAGCTCAGATTGGAAGAGATCACCTTGAAATCATGAAGATATCTGAATCATCTTAGGGCAGGCATCATTTCTTGGTCACAGGTTTGCTGTAAGGGCAAAAATAGGAAGCAGACAACTGAGCTTCATACTGAAAGGTGGGAGATAAATATGAAAAATAAAGGGTTCTACCCACTCTTTATCTGCTATCTGAAGAAACTGTTGGGCAAAGTGTGAATAGCCAAGAATGGCATAAGTGTGGAGTGATCCCACATCGTTGCTAACTTAGTAGCTGTCATCTATTGCTTGACTTTTCCACCTGTGAAAGTATCAAGTACTATATATTAATAGATGTAATTTCTGCTGGAATTATGAAATAGGATGTGTGAGAGAGTTCTATTTTCTGTCCCAGGGATAGTGCTATTTTCTTTCAATCATAGGTGAGCAGTTATTGGTGTAGGTTGCAAACTGTATGAGGCCCCTGGACCTGCCTGTTGTGATCCTTGAAGCCCCATCATAGGTTCACCAAAGCTCCGCAACCCTTCAGTTTTGTAACAAATATGGGATTTTTGAATAGAAAATCCCCCTCAAATGTAAACATGCAAAATACGAGGGTTGAATGAAAAGTAATGCCTCCACCTTCGTTACTTGGGCTTGGATGGGAATATTTTAATAAATCAAATGCAGAAATAATCCTTAGAATGTGCTCTTAGAACTATCACTATTGACTTTTACACATAATCACCAGACAATTGGATACATTTCTGCCAACGATGAACAAGTTTTCTGAAGCCGTCACGGAAGAAGTCCACACTCTCTTTCCGCAACCAGCGTCTCACAGTTCTTTCAATGTCTTCATCAGAAGCATAATGATGTCCCCACAGATCTTCTTTCATTATCGGGAACAGGTGGAAGTCAGACGGTGCTAAATCTGGACTGTATGGAGGATGTCGTACAGTGGTGAGATCCAGTCTCTGAAGTTTCAAGTCTGTGCGCTTTCATTTCAGGCATCAGCATCCCGAGTACCCATTGTGCACAGATCTTCCGATAGCCAAGCAAAGCAATAAGGCAGTGCTTCTCAACATTGAGTCCCCAGATGTTTTTGGCCTACAACTCCCAGAAATCCCAGCTAGTTTACCAGCTGTTGGGATTTCTGGGAACTGTAGGCCAAAAACATCTGGGGACCCCAGGTTGAGAACCACTGCAATAAGGTGACCCACATGTTCTTGTGAAATGCCAGTTATGCTTGAAATTTCTCTCTGAGTGATACAACGATCGTCCTGAATCAATGTGTCAACTTTTCTTGTGAAACTCGGTGGTTGCTGTCACAGGACGTCCAACTTTTTGTTTGTCATGCAAGTCAGATGTTCCCAACCCAACATCTTTAAACTTACTCGCTCAGTACTCACATCAACACAATCACCATAAACAGCTTGCATTCTCTGATGAATCTCCTTTGGGATGAAACTTTCTACTGTCAAGAATTCAATAACTGCATGTTGCTTAAGTCGCATTGACCGACCATCTTCGCAGGGTTCCATGCTTCACACTTTAACAACACAACAATTCAATGCTAAGGCTTCCCCCCAAAATGGAACTGTAGAGGAGAGTCTACTGAAC